TCAAAAAGTACACTTTTTTGCATTCGTTCCCAATCTCCTTTAATTTCGGCAAGGTCAATCCGCTCTATGAATAGGATCGGAGTGGTGTATTACTAAGTCCCTGTTTACATATGGGTATMCCTAGGTAGGACTGGCAAACTCTTTTTGTTAATATTCTCCAGGGAAAGTTGGGTTTTACAAAAGCTAAAGTTGGGCTTTACTTTTACCTAAAGGCACCCYATCTCATGTGAACTGGACCTTTTAGATCTTCTTTGAAGTCACCTCAAAAGGCCGACCATACTTGGTCTCGTATTGATCAATATTTTTTTCCTATTCAGGATACCTGTGCACYTCCATGGGAGACGAGTTCCACCCGAGTTAAACAACTTAATCACGCAAAAGGCCCTTCTATGTATCCGAATACTCCATTTTCGAGATCTTATTTGTGCAGTCTTAACCTCGAAAGAATGTAATATATTCTTTGTTCGGCAGAGAATCAATTGTAATGCTTCATTGAAGCTAAGCTTGCACAAGAGAATTGGAAACTGGAGAATTCTCATGTAGGTGTATGTTACATATTAATGTAACATACACCTTCGTCGATTAACTTGGACGTTGCTCCCCTTCGTCAAGTCATAACTTTAGAGTATGCCCTCCGTCCTCTTGATAATTATTGCGCAGGTCCCAAAGCAGTACTTTACAAGAGCAGCGAGTTCCTTTTTTTTAGTTAACCCAATTCAGGGTTATCAGTTAATTAAGCATATTTTACATTTTTGAAAACCTATGTGTCAAAAACTGGTTGCCATGGCGACATGGGTGACGTTATCAACAAAAAAAAATTACATCAAAATCTGCCCAGATAAATTTCAGTAAAAGTCCGAAAGTTTCAGAGCTGTAGCTGTCTTGGTTCGAAAGTTATTGGCTTTTTACGCGAGGGGGGGGGGCTCAAAAGGCCCTCCCCAGTCTGAATAGGGTTAAGATTGGCTTGATAACTTAATTTATTCCTGCAATGTCACTATTGCGCCACTATTGCCACTATTGTGCCAGTTGATGCGTATCTAGATATTACACGAGCAAACTTTAACCTTATGAATAAATTGATTTTTTTTAATTATAAATTAATTGTTAACAATTTTCAAGTAAAACTTGCTCGATGATCATGCATTCAAACTACACTTCATAGGAAAAATGACGATGCCACTGATTCGTTGCTAAGGCAAGACCTCAGTACAATCCCTCAAAAATTACCTGAATTTTTGTTTTGGTCCAATCAGAAACCAACTTTCAAAACCATCTATTAATCTAATTTAGGGTAGTACTTTGGCTATTTTAAAAAGTACACAGATGTCGGAATTCTCTGTTGCAATATCATGTCAGCGGGGTATCACATTGGGTTCGCTTGCATTTACCTGGTTATGTTAAATTAATTTGCATTTTTTTGGCAATTTTTTTTATAGTTATAATTTGGTTTAAAGTCTGGCAAAAGCTCTAATCAGCTCATACATTTCATCAAGAGAACTAATTTCAAATTGAGAGCTTAATGTTTCAGGAGTGTTTTGCCTCATTATGCTTTGGTCTTGTAATATTCAGTGCATAGTGATTTGGCCTGCTTTTAAACGTGAAATATCTATGAGAAAATAAAAAAAAATTACGCACATAAGGATTTGCCA